AGCTAATCCACTTTGCAAAATGGCTGCTTCAGGCGACCAGTTTCTGTGTTTACTTTGAGTCACACCCGAAAACAAACATTTAAGATGATTCATGTAAAAATTAGATTTCTTTGAAAAGCTGCAAGGAGCTTGTGCTAAATTACCTCAGTAAACATTTTTGTGCGAATCCTCATTTTCCCAGATTCCTAGAATGATGGTGAAGTCAGCACGACGTCAGGTTGAAATGAACCAGAATTCTCATTTAGAGTTCCCCTCAGGATGAACCATAATAACTGTGATATCCAAGATGTTTAATCTTGTACCGTCATCAAGTCAAAATTTTACCTCGTCTAATATGTTGATTCATGACCGAGTACCTGCAAAACTAATGGAAACCGCCTCAGTTGTAGTTTGTTAATTGGAAAATAATAGCATGCTGACACATTAGACTAAGATGTGTTTGTGCTCAAAGCCCTACTGTTGTGCATTAATACATCCTCACAGATGCGCCTGCATGGCTGTAGTTTTTGTTTTTATGGCACAAAACCCAGACATTAAAGCAAGGAGATTGGTTTTAAGCAAATGTTACCTGGTAGACAAATTTGCCACACTTTGCTTGATGTCCTGCTTTAAACTGCACAGTGTAATGAATAGGCTCATCTAGTCATGAGGACGACTGCAATCAATGCTGCTTTTGTAATGTAATTTTCATATTTTTTACATTATGGGTATATAATATTTAATGTTGCGCCAATAAAAAAGCTTTACTGGTGAACTTGCTGTAGGGGTCAGATCATCCATGTCGACTATTTCACCCAACAGAGGCTATAAGCAAAACACATAATCAAAATCAGCTTGTTTTAAACCCCAATTATAGCTGTAATCAACCTGCAGCTGTCACCTGCTGTACTGATTCATGCAAGTGCAGACATATATAAATATAAAAACATGATACACAGCAGCACGAGAGTCAGCGAGCCATGCAGTCATGACTCTCTTGTTTGTGTAAACAGCAGGAGCCTGTTACAACAAGACATCCCAACAATAAGGGCTTCCCATGTCACGTGAATGAGCGCAGGAGATCATCACTGAGCTGTATATGTAAGACTCACTGGAGTGTGTCTGCATTGTTTCCTTACATGCTGTGTGCGCAGACGTGCATGTGTTTGCGGTTAGCTGGTAAATGTAGAGCTCAGCAATAATCAGTTATTGTTCTTTCAATGGAATTGTGCCATATTTAATGATGGTGCTTAACTTGGAGCCCAAGTGATTAGCCAATTAATCTTTTGGATGATTGAAGGAAGATTAATCTGCTACTGTTTTGATAATTGATTAATCATATCGTTTTTTTTGTTTTCATGCATAAACACCGTTCATCAGGTAACTCCAGCTCTGATCACTGCATGCTGATTATCTTTGGGGTTTGGACTTTTGGGTGGAGAAAACTAGCAGTAATGAAGTGTTACATCTCAGGAGTTTTTAACGATTTTTAAAAGTCTTGACAATTAACAACAGATTAAACAACAATTAGCTGCAGCCCTAACTGATGTATTAAATAAATAAATACATACATACATACATAAATGCATAAATAAATAAATACATACATACATAAATAAATGATTATATATTTGATTCATATTATATTATTTATATTAAATACATTTTGTAAAAAAACATAAGCTTACCTGCTCTTAATATTACCAGACAATTTAAGTATTTACTGTTACTTTTGCTTTTGTTACCTACTTTCCAGTTTGCCCCATTACACTGATCTCTTACACCAGCTTACCACGAGTTTTACAATTCAATATTTATGACAGGGTGAATACATCAGACTATAGATGACTGCTGTCAGGTGTTATCATTTTGTATTTCATCATGTGTACCTATCAGCGTTTGTTGTGTTACCTGCCACACTCTCAGCTGGAGGGAGTGAGCGAGGTCTCCTGCAGCGAGAGGACAGCTCGCAGCAGGGAGCCGCTCTGCAAGGCTCTGTTACATGTCATACAGTGTGTGTGTCGGCATTCTAGCAGACCTGAAGGCCAACAAACAACTGATGTGTGTGCGTTTTGTGTATACATAAATATATATATAGAAGTGTGTCTTAAAGGTGGACCACATTTTCATTTAGAGATACAGGAATATGCAGCACGGTTTTAAACATGATCATTATCAATCAGCGCAAGTAACTGTGCTCAGTCCCCCGCCCTTCTTTCATCATGTAGATTTAGTTTTAATGCAGACAAATTCCCAGTAAAGTGTTTTCATTTCAGCTTTGTGCTGATAAAATTAAACGAAATGCAGTAAATTACAGCAGCTGTGCTTTGAGATTAGTTGTGCTGACATGTAAAGTAAGTGATGACATAGAGTTTCCCCTCATCTACCCAAAGAGGACTCGCTTATCTATCAGTGATCAGGGGCCCTGACTGATTTTTTATATTGGTTACACTGGTACACCTCATAAGCCAAAAAACCCCCCCAAAACTTCACCTTTTGTCACTGCAACAACAACTGCATGATGTAAATTCTGTGCTGTTTTTTTTATGAAGAAGAAGCCGTGACATACCCTGATCTCTGGGAGATTTATTTTGACAAGAACTAATGAAAAAGAAAAGCCACTGTGTAATAAGCTGCCCACTCCAGCTCAGCTCCCACAAGAGGACGGTGCAAAAGAGCTGACAGTGTACACAGACAATGGGTGCGGAGTTAGCAGCAGGGACTAATGGGGGGGGGTTATTACTGATTGGTCAACAGTGCATTCATAATTAGTGGAAGCAGCTGTCCTGCCCCTCCCCAATGAAACTATCTGCTGACCCCTCACCAAACCAAAAGTGACCCAACACCCCATATTATTTAGCTCAAACTTGATATCAGCTCCAACAGTGTTTGTAACTGGCAGATCAGTTGAGATACTATAATACAGTCTGACAGCAACAGCCAGAGCACGACAAGTTGGCAAATAACAGTAAACAGCATTATCAGAATTTAATATTAACAATAAAGTGCTCAGGGGACATTAAAACATCCAAAAAGACACAGGTTGTAATTCACTATTGACTCAAATAACAGTTTGGAAAACAATATGTGAAAATGTCTCTAGTATATGCAGATGCTCAGCTTGTACACAAAATATCACAGAGCTAAAATAGTACACCAAACTACAAAAACTCAGTTTTACGGGGACCAGTTGCAAACTGTACAAACACCTGACCTGTGAGTCAAGTCAAAGGGCACAGCAGCAGAGTTTAATACAGCAGCAGACGGACGGGAGGAATTAGTGACTCGCAGAGCAATCTGTGGTCTAACACAGAATTCACAAGCAGACACAAACTTGCTAAATGTCAGCCGCACCGGTGCAACATATTTGGTCGCACTCTGGAGCCCTGGCAATTTCTAGCAATGACAATATAATGATATAAAAAGGCAGACTATTGCTTCACCCTGGTCCACACACATAACCCCACAACTAGTTTTTGTTTTGTTGTCTGAACTCCCAGGCTACCTGAGGTAAAGTTAATCAAGGCCACATGGGTCCACATGGACAGCCTCAGTCTCACACTTTAACAGGAATACTAAGCAACCTTTACAACAAGCATTAATATGCATCCCAGGCATCTACGTTTTATCTGGGCACAGCAGAAGTGAAAATGTGCTACTGAGGACTGTCTCCATCACCAAACCTCATCAGGAGGTGAGTCACATTTGGCTGTCACCAGTTCTCACAATAACTCTTTCAGATGTAGTAAGAAGAAAAAAATCGTGCTACTACAGCTGCGTGGAAATAAAATGAATTGGTAACAAAAATGTACTTTTTCTGTTTTTGAGATGAAGATGAAGAATCTTGTTAAATTTTTGTAACCTTTTCACGATAATTCTTCTTTATTTTAGGGGTTACTGACATGACAAATCCGTCTACATCTTCCACGGGTCAATGACACCTGAACACGTTATTCCCTGCAACCACATTTTGGCTTACAACACTCACCTCCATCGCTTTTACCTTTACCTCTACCTATCCATTCAAAATTAATTAAGCTGGTTGCTCGCTGAGACTGATGTCAGCATAAAACATTTAAATGGGCAATAATCAATATTACACCTACTTAGAGAGAATTATCACCAGACATCGCTGCTTCCCTCTGCTTTACGGAGCTTTATAGTGAGTTTCCAGCTCATTGTTTAGCTGTCAGGTTCACAGTCTCACTGCTGTGGTTCGCTCTTACAACTTTCAGAACTTTATTTTTGGCCACAGCAGACAGTTTGGTTTTTTTTCCCTTTAAAAAGCTGAAAAAAAACCACAAAACTCACTGTGCACTACCTTTTTAGCAACAAGCAGCAGACAGACACAGTTGGCAGCCAGCTGATGGACATAGTGGAGCATTTAGCAGCTGAAGAGCCGCATATTTGCCCCAAGCTGGTGGAGACCAAAAACACGGCAAAGAGAGAGTAAATATTGGGATTATTTTTGCCAGATGGCCAGAGAGACATCCAAAATTGATGATGTTGCTTCCTAACTGCTGATCATGTAAATAATGTGTGCAAACTTTACTTCTTCATGGCTTAAAATTTAAATCCTAACAACAGTATTTCACTCTATGTTTCCTGTTTTTCTTATTTGTCTCTCTTTAAAAACTGTCCCTTTCATGAACTATCTCTACATCCTACTGTCAAAAACATTTTACGATCTTGCAAAACTGGAATTAATAAGTAAAATGATTAAATGAATCTTTTAGGAATTAATTATAATAGTGATTAAGGTGTTTTTAAAGAATGTTTATGTAGAGTTTCAATGGAGTACAGCTACGTATTGATCTGATTGTCCAAATAAAGGAAACGTGCATGTAAGTGTGCAATATTTCTCTAACTTTGATATTCATTGGATGCGACTTTCTCACTCAAATTTCACCTGAAAAGAAGTTGCTCCCCAGGCTCAGTGACACTTTCCAGCTAAATGGAGCTTAAATTGAATCAACCAACAAAATCCCTAACCTGAGCCTGTCTTCTGTGTCTCCCTGCAGAGAAAACCCAGAAGGGAGAAAAGAGGAAGCAGAATGGAGTGAAGGATAAAGGGAAGGAGAGGAGGAAGAGTAGTCCTGAGAAGAAAAAGGAGAGATGGAAGTCAGAGAACGACTCCCTGCTTAAAGAGCTAGGTACATTGTGTGTGCGTGGGTGGGTGTACGCCCTGCAGTGTTTGCGGTTTTTCCAAACTGATCAAATGCACCTCATTGCCTCGACATATGCCTGTGTGTTTGTGTGTCCATGTGAAACAAGGGTGCAGCACGTTTATAGCCTTGATGCATTGCTAATTTAGCTTTTTTGATCTGAAATGTCTTCATGAGGGCAAATTGCAGTAACAAAACACCAGAAAATTACAAAATATCAGGATTTTCTTGTTTCTTGCTTCTTCTTTTTTTTCACGATAAAGACTTTGTATGTCGAAACTTGGTCTTAAAAACGCTAACGGTGCACCGATAGTCTGCTATTGTCAGCATCCTTTCCATACAGGTGTGCTACATTTTTCACAAGCTTCATGCCTCCATCATCAGTGTTGTCATCCATTTTCTGTGATCGCTGGGGATCAAGTGTCAGGTTCGAGGGTAAAATGTTTTAATAGTTGACTACAGCTCAGCGCAGCAGGTCTAATCTGATACATCAATCCTTTGGCAGTGTAACATCACTCACAGAGAGAGATTAAGAAGCAACGTGAGGGAGAGATACAGCATGACTGGATGTTAATATAATGCCATTCTTGTAATTTGTACAGCTCTCCTCTCAGCTTTTCTGTTATGAATAAATCACCTTGTTTTAGCCCGTATAGACCTGTAGAGCGTTCTTACTAGAAGATACAGCACTAGTTATGGTCATACTGGGAAGTAAGGGAGCTTCTTAAGTCAACTCTTCCAGAGGAGTTACTCCCTAATCTTTTGTCAAACCCACGTGAAAAATGAAACCTAACAACTATTGCTGCTAGTCATTTATCAAGAAAAATGCCAAACATTAGCTACTTCCCAACAGAAATTTGGTGGTAGGTTTCTCTGTTCTATTGAATGCCGTTGGTTAAACATGTCACAATGATCTCTAGGAACTAAAAAAATAGGTCTTTGTGTTCATTTTCTGACATTTTACAAACCCCTCAATCTGGGTTTTTCATAAGCAAATAATGCATCAACAAAAAAAAAATCCACTGTGTGCAAAAATAAGAGCACAATACGGTCTGACCACGCACAATACATCCATCTAATCTGGTAGTGGTGCTGTCAAGAGGAGAAATTTTAGTACAAACTGTAAATCACAACCTACAGCATTTACAGCGGGACTCTTTACTTCATGTATCAACCATAAATCCAGCTTAATAGGTACATTTTTCTCATTTATTTAAGTGCAACTCACATCGCAAAATCACGTGTTGCTTTTGTAAATCAAAGTTGCATCATTCTGTCGAAACGGGGACTTTGAGGTGGACAAAACAGGCACAGAAATGACGGAAAACTGAAGACGGAGAGCATCTCTGTCACTGTTAATCCTTATCATTAATGAGCGACAGAGAGAGCGACACTGATAGAAAAAGGGAGAGGGAGGCCTGTCTCATCATTGTTGAGATAAGGATGGATGATAATGGCTGCCTGTCGTGTTAGAAGGTGATCCATCCCCACTAGCGATTATTACAGCCACATATGATGCTCAGAAGACAGATATTAAATGGAAATTGAGCGTACAGCTTATATGTATGTAGATATTTGTTCGTAACATTGACAATTTACGGGCATTTAGCTGGCACTCGTATCCACAGTGACTTGAAGTGAATGAGCAGATAAAGGCTTAGTGTCTCACTCGAGGACAGTTGATAGACGTTTGATGGACACACGGGCGGATGTGGTGATTGAATCTGAAGCTTTTAAGTTGTCAACACGAGACAAGCCACCTGCCCGACTATTGAGGTACAAATTAACATTTCAATGCGCTGACATCCTCATAAAAGTCAAAAAGATACACTTCTCTGGAACAGTTTGTCCATCACTAAGCAGCGGAGAGTTTTTTTTTTTTTTTTCTTTCCACTGAGCAGAAGTGACATGTTTAGCTTGGAGGAGGCTATGAGTCATAATCCAGGTTCATGGCAGAAATGCGTTGAATGATGTGTTAAATCAGGAGTGCAGATACCGAAGCGTCTCTATTCAGAAGCATACAGAGTTTTAGATTTTAAATTGAGTATTTATCCATCTGTTCATGTCCATCCATTATCGTGGCTTGTTTTGAAAGTTGGCACTCTCCGACGCGTCTGCTGCGCCTGTAAAGTCATATTTCCCTGACATCCTGAAAACATCATCAGTTTATTTTTTCAGATGCAGCTGCTTCATGGGACAGTAGCACTGTGACAGTTTGATGAGAGCTGGTGCTGTCGGTCGTGGCAGAACCAGAGCGCGCTGTCAGGATCAAACACACTGTTTCCTCCTTTCAGGTTATATCTGTCAGATTATCGCTTTTATTTTGGAAATGTTTCACTCCAGAATTACATAACCACTGGAATCCTTGTGAAAAAGGTGACAACCGTGCACGAGAAATGATTGATAGCATTAAAATCAAATAAATTGTTTTTGGGAGGTTTTTTTATTTTGTTTTTTTTTAGGGGCAGTAGGAAACCACATGGCTTAAAAAAATAAAAATAAAACTACAGACTGGATCCTTTGCAAAGCACTACATTATTACCTTTAATTTGGGGTTCTCCCATTTAGCAGCATCTGAAAAATAACCTTTAGGCTACATTATGAGTAGTGAAAACTCCCACCATTTAGCATTTATAGCAGTATACGAACATTTAGTTAATGTTTATAACATCCTATCATGGTGTAAGCAGATATGAGAACACTTATAATCTTATTTATTGTATAGTATTTGTCAACAGTTATAATATCTATATGAAGATATGTTATATTACTCAAACTATGTTTTTCTGTTCGTACACTAGCCTCCAAATATGGCTGCCCAGAAGAGGAAGATGAGTTATAGCTGCTGACAAATATATTACAGGGTGTTAAACTATTTAGGTAATATTTGTATAGTGCCTACAAATAGCAGGACTTAAAGTAAAGTGTTGCAATTGAAACTATAAATATAAAAACCTCAGGTTTAGGGGGAAAAAATGTCATTTTAAGTTTTTGTTATTGTGTAAGAAAACAATACAATAATTAACATGCAACACATGGTTCCAGGGGACACACAAGTTGTGACATACTGTGTGTTTGTGTGGGTGAATAAGATGCAAAACAAAGTCTTTCCTATCTTCAGGCTTTCTGTAAACGCCATCTCCTCTGCTGTAAATAGCTTCTATATGTAGGACATCAAGTAGGTGGATTTGTAGTCTTACATAATGCTTGTTTATGTATCTACATCTAATAAGTTATGAATATTCTTGCATTCTGTAAAATGCTGTGGGCTGCACAATTACTGTACATGATTGATATCAGACAGCATGATGAAAACAAATTCTGAGGACTAATTGCGCTCTCATATCATTTATGCTTCTCTCATCTGAGTTTATATGCATAAAAGCAGCTCACATACATGTAAATAATGGAGAGCAGACGTCAACATATAGCACAAAGGCATTAAAAATACATAAACAGGACATCTCAGCACACTGCAGCACTAAAGCAACACGTAGAACGCGGAGAGCTCGCCTTCCTCCTGTGATCTCACAAAACGAACATGACAGAAAGTTGCTGAAAGCTATGAAAACCACCTAACAAAGACTTCATGCCGTCATCAAAGGATGAAACCTGAAGCTGCTCTGTTGATAACGAAATGGGCTCTGACTTTGAGGGATTAGAGCATTTTGGCAGGAATTATATACAGCTAAGCTTAACCTCACTCTACTGTTAACATTTTTGTAACAGAAAATCCATATGTACATCCATAAAGATTTAGTTTCCACTTGTAGGGGTTTGGAGTTTTGGCTTTGTGTGTCAGCTGCAGCATTGAATTCTGAGAAACAGGTAGTGTTGTGTGTGTTACTCAGAGACTGGACTTGGATATTGCCAGATTTAACTGAGCAGCTTTAGAAAACTTGAAATAGGTCCTCTTGCCTAACCTTGCCTCAAAAGGCAATTCCACTTTTTAACAGTGTAGGGTTTCTTTTTGCAGTTTTGGCCAACATTCAGCAGTTGCCTCTTATAATAGATTCTCAATTCAAAATTGATTCTCTATTCAATAAACAGAAAAGAAGCACATTGTCTACAGGCTCCTACAGAAAAGACAGACATACGTGTGCCAGTTCTTTGTTTGAAAACTGCAATGATTTGGAGGTGCACAAACAGTAAAATGAACTATTTTAGTGAGCATCAACAATCAAAAAGTGGCCCACCTTTTCTCAGTATGTGTGCTTTACTCTGCTGTTGCTGCTACACTCCAGGAAACAAATTACCCATAATGCTGTACAGACGCAGGTCTTTTGAAATTGGATAGACTCAGTAATTTTCTCCACCTGATCAAAGTGTACATTGGCTTGTTTGCTTGTGCTGCGGTTCAGCGCTTCACACGATGATGGCATACAAGGTATTCACGAATCACCTTTGTATTGCAGAACTGGTTATTAGAAATCATTAAAGCCTTAATGCACCAGATGATTGCTTTAATTATAGATAAAGTGGAGGTAACGCTTGTGTATGCTGTACATCCTGTGGGTGCTGCGCTTCACTGTCTTTTCGTTTTCATAGACATGTTATTACCAACATCCCAGAGAAGATTTCTGGAATTTACAAATCAATTCAGAATTATAAAATTGTGTCAATCACCTGATTTGGCTTTTTTCTTCTCCACACAAGGATATCTGTGTGATCCAGAGATGCAACACGGGCAACCAGTTCCCTAATTTCACGATGCTAATTCAGTTATCAATTCTGTAATCAAAGCTCAATTTTACCACCAGATAAAAGCTGACATTAACTGACATTTTTCACCAAACAAGGTGTAAACACAACCCAGACATTTTGCCATGAAGTTGGTGAGGTGAACTTAACGGCTGTTATATACACAACTAGCAATTATTGGGTCATTTGGAATCCTTTTTCTGGCCATCTGTTAAGTATAAGCTCAGTCAGTGTTCACTCTCTTATAGTGTATAGCTGCTTTAGGTCTTCACCAACCGTTAGCTGCC